AAAGATTTGTCCCCTGGAGTTTTCTGTATCTATTTAAAATATTGATAGAGCTGCCCGCCTTCTACCGGTCTCTGGGCGGCTGCCATGAAGGCTGGGGAAACCACCATAACCAGGAAGGCCTGAATCCTGGGTGCCTGCCGGGGACAACAGCCAGGGTCTGTGGTGCGCAGACACTCAAAGCCCACCTCCCATTAAAAAAAATGTTCTCTCTTGTTCACCAGCAGATGCCCTGGCCACTGCAGGAGGTGGGGTGTGTGTGTGTGACAAATCTCTCCACCCTTGGAACAGAGGTGGGATTCAGCCGGTTCTACAGAACTGGTAGCGGAACTTTTGAGTAGTTGGGAGAACCGGCCGATCCCACCTGTGACTGGCCCCGCCAACCCCGTCTCTTCTCCGCCTCCCATTGAGTCCCAGCTGATGGGCTGGGTCTCCTTGGGTTGCCCTGCACAGGAGAACGGAGCTGGAAAGCAGGTCAGTGGGGTGAGGAGGGAAGGGGGATTTTGCAGTATCCTTCCCCTGCCACGCCCATCATGCCATGCCCACCAAGCCACACCACGCCCACCAAGCCACGCCCACAGAACCGGTACTATAAAAAAAATTGAATCCCACCACTGCCTTGGAGGACTAAAAATCTGAGGAAACCCCAGAATGCCTCTTAGTAGCCCGTTTATTCAGATTCTTTGGGGAGAGCACTTGGCGTTTGGTAGGAGACGGGTTGGCCCCCAACCCGAGCCGTGGTTTCTCTACTTGATGCCGTAGGCCTCCACTTCGCACATGTTCAAGTAGTCCTTCCCGGGCAGGTGCACACTGATGTAGCGGCCTTCCTGCCCGTTGCAGTAGATGGTAGTGATGGAACCTGGGCTGACGTTCAGGATGATTCCACAGCTGCGGGGCAAGAGAGGTCATGTTGAGGAGAGCCTCCCCACCTGCTGGTCACCCCACCCCCAACCCCAGGACGCAGTCTCCACCCCCCCCCTTGAATCTTCAAAGGCAGCCCCATTTCAGCAGCAGTCCAGACCTCACACCCTCTGCTGCCTCTGCTGCAGGGATCGGCTTCAAAAAATTTTTAGCAACCGGCTCTCTTCCCAGTTGCTGGGTGGGTGTGGCCAGGGTGGGTGTGGCCTAGTCGGCCTCCTGCACCAGAGGCTTCTGTCAAGTCCTTCCCAGACTCCGGAGGCCGTCTGGAGGCCAGAAAACAGGAGCCCCTTTTTTCATCTTTCCCGAGCCTCTGCTCAGGCCCCGTCCTTACCTGCATCCAAAATGAGGTGGGGGCTCCTGGGAGGGGAAGGGCAGGGTGGGCAGGGCCAGCCAGGGGTGGGATTTACCAATTCGCCGAACCAGCCCTTTAAAAGGATAAAATTAGCCACCGGTTCCTCCAAACCGGGGTGAACCGTTAGCAGCCCAGCCCTGCTCTGCTGTTGTGCCTCCATGGTGCCTTTAATATTCCAATTAATTGGAAGTATTAACCAAGTGGGAAGGCCTGTGGAGGGGTGTGGTTTTTTTTAAAAAAAAGTACTTAGATTGCTCTATTATCAAGGAAAATATCTCTTTTGCTCCCTTGTGCAACAGTTTCTCTGAGGGAATGTCATGATCAAGTCTGCCTTTCTTTGCGGGGTCCTCTCTGAGTTTGGTGGTTCTCTTGAAGGGGTTTCGTGCAGCAATGATCATACAACATCATCATGCACTGATGACGATAGCTAGTTGGGTAGTGAAATGTCTGCAAGAAAACTATTGAGGTCAGAACCCCATGGTCCTCCCCCTCCTCGTCCTGCTCCTTCTCTCCTCTCCCCTCCTCCTCCTCCTCATCTTCCCTTCTCCTCAACTCTGCAATCCCCACTCCAAAAGACTTTGGAACCATATTTTCCACTTAAGAGCATCTCTTTGAGGTGCAGGGACCGGCATTTTGTACAAAACCCAAGCAGAGAAACCCCCTTTTCCACCCCAGCCCCATGGCCTCATATCAAGTGCTTTAGCCGGTGCTGAAGGAACCCGATTTGCAACGTGAACGATACTGAAAATTAACAATCAGGTGGAGTTCGCACAGCCATACACCCCTCCCACACACAATTGAGACCCATAGCGTAGGGAGGTGGTATCAAGTGAGGTCGTTCCCTGTCTCTTGGGGGAGCAAGGAGGGAGGTGATCTCACAAGGTCCACACCAATGAACTCATGCCACCTTGGCCACCAGCCCAAAATTGGCACTTCATACGCAATAGCACCAGAGGGGGTATTCAGCCGGTTCCGACCAGTTCTGGAGAACCGGTAGTGGAGATTTTGAATAGTTCGGAGAACCGGCCAATCCTACCTCTGACTGGCCCCTCCCCCATCCATTGTCTGCCTTCCAAGTCCCAGCTGATGGGCTGGTTCTCCTTTGGTTGCCCTGCACAGGAGAACGGAGCTGGAAAGCAGGTTAGTGGGGTGGGGAGGGAATTGAGATTTTATCCTTCCCCTGCCATGCCCACCGAGCCACGCCAACAAAACACCACGCCCACCAAGCCACGTCCACCAAACACCACACCCACAGAATGCCATGCCCACAGCTGATCGGCTGGGTCTCCTTTGGTTGCCCTGCACAGGAGAATGGAGCTGGAAAGCAGGTCAGTGAGGAGGGGAGGGAATGGGGATTTTGCAGTATATCCGTCCCCTTCCACGTCTACCAATCCACGCCACACCCACCAAGCCATGCCCACAGAACTGGTAGTAAAAAAATGTGAATCCCACCACTGTACAGACCCCCCCCCCAAAAAATCATGTACACTGCTTGTGAATTCTCTGTGTGAGGGGGGTGACTGGCTCCAAGCTACTTACAGAGGGTTGGCTCTTCCGTGGTCTTTGAGAGAATTTCCTAAGTGGACCTCCGCTTCATACATCCTTTTGGCACAGCAGTCATAGCGGGTTTTCACCAAGACCACCGAAATTTTACGAGGCTCCCCCAGGTCCACCAACCACCAGGGGTTCATCTCGTTTTTGGTGTGGATGCAGGAGTTGTTGTACCAGTCCCCGTTGCAGTTCCCGTCCACCGCTTTGTCTGCTGACCCAACGATGTCATGGTGATGGATGGAAGACTGGCTGGCCGGCTTCCCTAAGGCCAAATTCTGACCTTCCACACCTGCAGGAGAGGATGGAGAGGAAGAGGAAGGTGCAAAGGGCACGAGGGCAGCCTTTCTGGGGGGGTTGTGGGGTGAGTTTTGAAGGCTGAGAAAGGGGTGGAGGGAAGAGAGCCGAGTGCAGCTCTCCATGTTCTTTGCCAACTAGGTAACATTATCAGGTCTGCTTCTTCCCTCCCTCCCTCCCTCCCTCCCTCCCTCCCTCTCCTTCCTTCCTTCCTTCCTTCCTTCCTTCCTTCCTTCCTTCCTTCCTTCCTTCCTTCCTTCCTTGCACTAACACCTAGGCTTATATGCCGCTTCACCACGCTTTTACTGCCCTCTCTAAGCGGTTTAGCCGAATCAGCCTTTTGCCCCCAACAACCTGGGGCCTCATTTAACTGACCTCGGAAGGGCAGAAGGCTGAGTCAATCTTGAGCCGGTCAGGATCGAACTGCTGGCAGTGGGCAGAGTCAGCCTGCAGGACTACATTCTGACCACTAGCCCTCCAGTGCAAATGAAAGGGCCAAGTGCCCAGTGTGAGGAGAAGCACACAGACCCTTCGCTCTCCGTTCTTCCCCAAATACGTTGGAGGCTGCTGAAGGTGTGTTATTATCCTCCACCCTCCAGGTCCTGGTTGTCCCAAAGGTGCCTTTTTTTCCAAGAGGCAACTGTGATTTCTTGGTTTTTCCTTGGAGACATTTCTCTTCTTCATCCGAGAAGCTTCTTTGGCTCAATTTGACGAGAAGCAAAGCATCTTCAAGGCAAAAGTCCGGCTGCTGTTTGAAAAAGCACCTTTGGAGGCTGCTGGTATCTAAGAGGAGTTGGAGGCGGGGACTGGGGGGGGGGCTTTGAAACGGCCAGGAATACAACTATATCTCCGTACACACAGCCCACACAGGGGTCTTGCGATGGTTCTTACCCAGAGGTATTATTCAGCTGGTTCTGACCGGTTCTGGAGAACCAGTAGCGGAACTTTGGAGTGGTTTGGAGAACCGGCCTATCCCGCCTCTGACTGGCCCCGCCCACCCCAATCTCTTCTCCGCCTCCCATGGAGTCCCAGCTGATCGGCTGGATCTCCTTTGGTTGCCCCACACAGGAGAACGGAGCTGGAAAGCAGGTCAGTGGGGTGGGGAGGGAAGGGTTTTTTTTTTGCAGTATAGCCTTCCCCTGCCACGCCCACTAAGCCACGCCCACAGAACCGGTAGTAAAAAAAATTGGAATCCCACCCCTGTTCTTACCTATAGGTAGGGTCCTGCAACTCTGAGCTGCTCCAGGGCCTGCCAGGAGGGTCACAGCCAGCAGACCCCTCCAGATGTTGAGCGTCATCCTGCAAGCGAGGAGGGGAGAGATCAGGGAAGGCGGGGGAGGGCCACGTAGAGACGGTGAAGAGCTGGATTCCTCTGCTCCACACACCTGAGCACCAGGACTGGCCACGGACTGGAACTATTTTATTGATGGCTAGAGCCAAAAACACGTAAGCTAGAAATATCTAACAGAGCAGCGAAATACGGAAAATATCTTCATAGAATTAAACACGGTAAGAAAAGGACTGTTATAATGATAGATAGATTATTATATACTACTAATAAGTGAAGATCTAAACAGGCTATTGTTACAGTGTGAGAGATATTGTGTATATTAATAACAAGATAACAACGGAGAACTAACATCAATGTAATGAATAGGGTAGTAATTTTGATTATTGTCACGCAAGACGACACACCGTTGAATGGAAGATGAATTGTTTGTACTTATATTTAAAACAAAAAAAACCCCTTTTATTTGATTATGAGGACTGGCCACAGACTCAAAGGAGAGTTGGAGATACTTTCAAGGTTCTGAAAGTCTGTGGAGATTCTGGGTCATCCAGATCCTGGTTGTCCTTCTCTTTTTTTTTCCCCCAAGAGACAACTGGACTTTCTGGTTTTCTTCTTTTTAAGACATTTCGCTTCTCATCCAAGAAGCTTCTTCATCTCCGACTGGATAGTGGGACTGAATGGAAGGATTAATCCTCCTTGCAGACAGAACTGGTCATTTGCATCCTTTTAGAGGGTCATTGAAGCCCTTGGAAGCCCCGCTCGGGTGACTCTGGGGACACAGGTCAACCTCCAAGTGGCCTCAATCACCCTCCCAAAGGATGCAAACGACCAGCTCTGTCTGGAGTATCAATCCTTCCCTTCCCCACCGTCCAGTCGGAACGGAAGAAGCTTCTGGATGAGAAGAGAAACATCTTACAATGAAAAAGCAAGAAAGTCCAGTTGCACCATGAAAAAAATGCACTTTGGGGATTTGAAGGTTCTGCCCTTCTCTCAGAGGTCCATCATGAGCACACCTGAAATCGCTCCTCCGCCTCTTCCCTCACCTGGCCTTTCCCACACGCTGGCATCAATCCCATTAAAAACACCAAGGTGGGTTTATTGGAGTCTCTTCCTCATTTGCCCACTTTCTCGGGCCATCCCATAATTTCACCCACCCCTCCTCTTCCAGGACACACTCTGTGGTCAGTCCTTCCTTCTTTCCCCGCCACTCACCTCCTTCAATCTCTTGGCGATGTCCAAAGGGCCGGATCTCCTTCCTGGAGGGGGAACAAGGGCAGCTCCTTTCCACCCACAGGTGCTTCAGGTGAGCCCAGGGCCTCCCTCTGACCAGCCTCAGGGTTTTATCCCCTTCCTCCCAGGGGAGTCCAAGCCAATCAGGAGGCGGCCAGAGCAAAGCTTGGCCTGGCTCCCAACTCAGGTGGAGTTTTACGTTTGCTTTGCTACAAGACCTTCCACCAACTCAGCAAATACTCAGGGCTTCTCTCCTCTTGTTTTCGCCACCAGGGCCCGTCCTAAACTGGGGTTGACTCTGCTGCTGTGGGTGGGACAACAGGCACTTTTGTAGCAGGAAATGCTGCGTTCCCGTCCAACTCACGACAAGCCCTCAGCACACACGAAATCAGTGACTGGGGACTAATCAGTTCTAGATCTGAATCTGTCCCCAAGTGGGAGCATAACTTTGGTAAGATTTGAAATGCTCCATTGATTTACTCTCCCTCCCTCTCTCTCTCTCTCTCTCACACACACACACACACACACACACACACACAGAGAAAGAGGGGGGAGACAGGGAGAGAGAGAAGGAGAGAGAGGTAGAGGGAGGGAGACAGAGAGGGAGAGGGAGAGAGGTAGTGGGAGGGGGTAGAGAAGGAGAGGGAGGAGGGGGAGAAAAAGAGAGGGGGAAGAGGGAGAGAGATAGAGGGAGAGAAAGAGGGAGAGAGGGAGAAAGAGAGGAGGAGACAGGAGGAGAGGGAGAAAGGGGAGAGAGGGAGGGAGTGGAGGGAGAGAGAGAGGGAGAGATAGAAGGAGAGAGAGGGGGAGAGAGAAGGAGAGGGAGAGAAAGAGAGAGGGAGGGAGATAGAGAGAAGGAGAGAGGGGGAGAGAGGGAGAGAGAGGGAGAGAGAGGGAGGGAGGGAGAGGGAGAAAGAGGGGGAGAAAGAGAAAGAGGGAGAGGAAGAGAGAGAGAGAGACATTGAATATCACAAGATCTCTCCCTATTATGCACAGAGCAGGGACATTTTTTCATTGGGGCAATTTGTTTAGCACTAAAAACACATCGAAAGCAAAGTCATCTTTTCAAAAGTCTTGGATGCTTCAGCTGAACCAGGGTCTCCGGACTCAGGGGGTTCCCAACCCCCAATAGTGGGTGGTAGCCTGTTCGGAACCAGGCCGCACAACAGGCAGGCCAGCACACATGCGCGCATGCAGCCCTATGCCAGTCGCACACACACTAGCGCATCGCTCGCCTGGCCCAGATCCCCTCTCCCCCGAAGCCGGGCAGCCAAGCCCCAAAGGTTGGGGACCACTGTCCAAACTTGGCAACTTTAAGGCTTGTAGACTTCAACTCCCAGAGTTCTCCAGGCGGCTATGCAGAAATCACTGGAAAACACAATTATGCAGGGAAGTAAAAGGGAACCAGGCGGCCAAAGAAGTCGGTGGCCAAACACCAGCAAAGCTGACGCCAGCCAGAGCACAGAACAAGTGAAAGAAGCCGCGTAAGATCAGGAGATGCGGAGAGACCATCTGGCCCTTAGACTCGCCAAGAGTCAGATGTGACTGGTGCATCAGACCCTCCTCCTCCTCTTCCTCCTCCTCCTCCTCCTCATCTAATACCCTGTTTTCCCAAAAATAAGACCTACCCTGAAAGTAAGCTTGATTTTTACATGTGTGCCCAATATAAGCCCTACCCCCCAAAATAAGCCCTAATTAAGATCCCACCCACTCCAGAGTGGACGGGTAAAAATTAAGCTAGGGTGGGGGTGGAGGGGTGGAGCTGCCCTACTATACTTACCTTTGGCCAGGTGTAGCCACCCCTGGCACACCCCGACACCTGCCTTGCCAGCCCATTTCTTCTGCAGACAGCAAGGCTGGCCAGGCTTTCCTGAAGTCCTCTGGAGCTGATAACAACGCTCAGGATCGATCCAAAGCTCTGTTACCGGCTGCAGAGGCCTTCAGGAAAGCCGGCCGCAGAAGAAGAGGTTCCTGAAGGCCTCGGACAGCGAAAAGGAGGCCAGGTGCGACACACACAAGTGAGGCTAGTCAGTAAATGGTATCCCCCCAAAATAAGACCTGGTGCCTCTTTTTTTGGTGGCAAAAAAATATGTAAGACAGGGTCTTATTTTCGGGAAAACACAGTAGCAATGGGCTAATATTTGTCCAGCTTCCTAAGGTCCTTATGTGAGCAGAAGAAAAAACGCCAAGCGGCAAATCAACCTTTTAGGTTTGACGAGAAGTTCTTGGCTCCAACCACTTATTCTGAATAGACCTGCGATGCATTCGAGGGCTTTTTCCTCCAATATAACCCACATAGGACTCCAGGGCATGCTCCGAAATCGCCAGACTTCCTCCTTAGAAGAATTTTATGAATGCAGGGTTTTGGAGCCCGTCGAAGTTCGTCATGTCCCCAAGTGAAATAGTTGATGCATGAGGTGGATAAAAATGCAGGAAGAAATAAAAAAACCTTCCCAGTGTAACAGATGGGCAAGAGTCCCAAGCTGTAATGTTCAGAGATTATGGCATATTTGTACTTTTTAATTTTTGCTTCTGGTGGCGATTTATAAGCCCCAAGCAGCATTTGAAACAATGGAAGAGGACTAGAAGACAGTAGCACTCGGGCACAGTTCAGTTCACCAAGGATGAAGAAAGAGAAAGGTCTAGAGCGAGAAAGAAAGATCTAGAAAGAGAAGGAGGATTAGAGGGCTGGAGGCTAAAATATACGAAGAACGGTTGCAGGAACTGGGTACGTCTAGTTTAACGAAAAGAAGGACTAGGAGGGACATGATAGCAGTCTTCCAATATCTCGGGGGCTGCCCCAGAGAAGAGGGGGTGGTGGTGGTCCCCCTCTTCTCCAAAGAACTTAAAAACAGGACAAGAAGCAAAGGATGGAAACTCAACAAGGAGAGAAGCAACCTGGAATTCAGGAGAAACTTCCTAATTGTGAGGACAATCAACCAGTGGAACTGCCTGCCACCAAAAGTTGTGGGAGCTCCAACACTGGAAGGTTTTAAGAAGAAACTGGACAAAATCCGAAATGTTATACGGTTTCTTGCTTAAGCAGGAGGGGTGGACTAGAAGACCTCCAAGATCCCTTCCAAGCCTATTGTTCTGAAGAAAGATTCTTGGCCTGAAGGAAGATATTTTATTTATTTGTTTGTTTGTTTATGTATTTGTTTGTTTATTTATTTATTGTTCTGTCTCACCTTCCTTCTTTCCCAAAAGATGAAAGAGTACAAACTCACACAAACACAGGCAGGCAGGCAGGCCGGCTCGGACTTCACAGAGTTAATTCTTTGGAACTGATAACGTCCTTGGCATTCCAACACGCTCTGCCTGCCAAGTCCGAACTGATAACAAGTAAAAAGCTACTTCCAAAAAATTACAAGGCAAACCACAAAAATCATTCACAAAGAAAACCTGAAGTAAGATCAAACTTTGTCCCGCAGAAAGTTCCAGCTGACAACACACCCACTTTTATCCCCTGTGGAGTGTGGCGCAATGACTCAGCTCACTCTCTGACCCTCCCACGCCTCCTACGCTGCAGCTCACATTTCTTCCTACGACGCTGCCTAGGATCAAGCCAACATTCGTCCACTTGACTCCCTGTCAGGGGCTGCTCCGATATGCCCTCCTCCTCCTGATTAATCTCAGGCTGTTCCTCTCGGCTGTCCGATGAAACCTGAGGCATTGCCAGGGAGGAAGGTCCAGGCGAGGAAGACATTCCCAGTTCCTCCTCCTCATCTTCCAGGTCCTCTTCCTCTGACAGCACAGGCTCGGGAATCAGAGCCACAACATTTATCTTTGTTTATTTTTGCCAATTGCTTACAAGATAATAGGTATAAGTAAAAAAACATAGTTATGAATACATGGACATATATATAAGAAAAATAAAAATAAACAATAGGACAGGGACGGTAGGCATGTTGGTGTGCTTATGCCCGCCCCCTACAGACCTCTTAGGAAAGTGGGGTGGTCAATAGTAGACAGTCTAAGGTTTAACGTTTTTGGGTTTCCATTCTACGAGAATGGAATCAGGAAGACATCCACCAAATAGTACTCCTCCAGAAAGGTTTCACTTCTCACCTAATTTGGACAGGTCCTTAGGTGAGTGGGCAAAGGTCCAGTGGGTTGTAAATGTTCCAACTCCTGAATCCTTTACATCTCAACACCTGGCATGGCTCACGTTCCAGACAGGTGTACCTGGGCGACTGAGGGTGTTTGTCGCCAACAGGAGAGGAAATTGAGCAGGAACAAGGACTCTCCGTAACTACCCACCAGAAAGATGAAACCAAGACCACTGATGGGGAGCAAAGCACTTGCAGACCAGGAGCCAAGGGTCTACCAAGACCACCCCCCAAGTTCCTCTCTAGAAGGAGAGCCCCCATTTTTAATGGGGGCAAAAGAAAACCAGAAGAAATTTGGTAGCACCTTTTCCAATACACACTGTTTATTCAAGGGCCCGGGGACTAATACAGATTAACAGAGTTGGAAGGGACCTTGTAGGTCATCTAGTCCAACTCCACCCACCCCACCCAAGCTGGAGACCCTACGCCATTTCTGACAGGTGGTAGTCCAGTCTCTTCTTGAAAGCTTCCAGGGATGAAGCTCCCACAGCTTCCGAAGGTATGAAGAACAGTTGCAGGAATTGGGTATATCTAGTCTGGGGAAAAGAAGAATTTGGGGTGACATGATAGCATCTTCCAATATTTGAGGGGCTGCCCCAAAGAAGAGGGGGTCAATTTGTTCTCCAAAGCCCCTGAAGGCAGGACAAAAAAGTAATTGATGGAAACTCATCCAGGAGAGGAGCCATCTGGAACGAAGGAGGAATTTCCTGACAGTTGGAACACTCAAATCAGTGGAACAACTCCAGAATTTGTGGGTCTTTCATCACTGGAGGTTTTTTAAGAAGAGACTGGAGAGCCATTTGTCTATAATGGTTTAGTCTCCTGCTTCAGCAGGGGGTTGGACTAGACCAGTGGTCACCAAACAGTGAGCCGGGGACCACTGGTGGTCCACGAGAAAATTTTGGTGGTCCACGGAATAATATCGCCCTCAAAGCAACTAATCCAGGCTGT